CATTCTGAATTAGCTGGAGAGTTTTTAAAGACTTACCAGAGCTACCTGATAATAGGGAGTTACAATAATCCAGCCTAGAGGTAACAAAAGCGTGGACCAATTTTTCTGCATCTTTTCAGGTCAGGATAGGCCTAATTTTCTCAATATTATGCAGATGAAAAAATGCAGTCCGTGAGGTTTGTTTTAAATGAGAATTAAAAGACAAATCTTGATCAAATATTACTCCGAGGTTTCTTACGGTAGTGCTAGAGGCCAGAGCAATGCCATCTAGAGAAACTATGTCATCAAATAAAGAGTCTCTGAGTTGTTTGGGGCCAAGAACAATAACTTCAGTTTTGTCTGAATTTAACATAAGGAAATTGGTGATCATCCAGGTTTTTATGTCTTTAAGGCAATTATGAAGTTTAGTTAATTGATTACTTTCTTCTGGCTTCATCGATAAACACAACTGTGTATCATCCGCATAACAATGGAAATTTACAGAGTGATTTCTAATGATGTTACCTAAAGGAAGCATATATAGAGTAAATAGGCCCATTTCCACCGCAGGAACTTCGGGGTAATTTTACGGGGCCGGGGCCATTGGTTCGTGTCTCCACCGCAGGAACCACCCCCGAAGGACAGAGTTCCAGAACTTTTACAGGGCCTAAACAAGTCCCTGCCTCGGAATAGGTACTCAGAACGGCCCTGAGAGACTCCTGGCTGGGGCTTGGGGATTACTTGGTGCTTATTGGATATACTCAAGGCGGGATGTGACGTTTTGTAATAACTATGGTTATCGTAGATTAGCTGGGCTAACCGTTAGCTGTTAGCCGTTAGCGGTGTCTGTATTAACTCATTAACTCAATATACGGTCCGTGAAAAAAATATTTTTTCCAGCGGATATCTTAGTTACAACATGATTGAGCTAGCAAAGCAGTTTTGTGTTGCTATGTGTGGTATTTATTCAGTTTTGGGAAATCGCGATGTCTAGAAAGCATCAGTAGTGGCTGCAGCTGACAGGGACAGCTAACAGCAGCAGCAAAGCTAACATCAGGATGTCATCTGTTAAAAGCCTCCTGTTGACGGATACGACATGAAACTACTCCAGTTAGCTTAATCGTGTTGTAACTAAGACATCCGCTGGAAAAAATAATTTTTCAAGGACCGTTTATTGAGTTATTGAGTTAATACAGACACCGCTAACGGCTAACAGCTAACAGCTAACTACATCCCTACGTCGCCCCGGTCAAAATGGTCGCGCAACGATTACATCACATCCAGAGCCTGGTAACTTTACAGGAACCTTCCTCCTGCTCCGCTCTCTCAGTGGAGACACGGCGGTTGAGAGGGCCGAGCGAGAGGACGTTCCTGTAGTAGTTCCTGCCCCCCAAATAGTACCAGGAACTTCTTCAGTGGAAACGGGCCTAATAGGATTGGTCCGAGCACGGAACCTTGCGGAACTCCAACACAAACTTTAGTACGTAAGGATGATTTATCGTGAACATGAACAAACTGAAAACGATCAGATAAATAAGATTTAAACAGCTTAGCGCAGAACCTTTTAGGCCAATTAAGTGTTCCAGTCTCTGTAGCAGAATTTGATGGTCAATTGTGTCAAATGCCGCACTAAGATCTAATAAAACAAGTACAGAGACGAGTCCTTTGTCTGAAGCAATCAGAAGGTCATTTGTAGTTTTAATTAGTGCTGTCTCAGTGCTATGATGCACTCTAAATCCTGACTGAAATTCCTCAAATAAATTATTATCATGGAGAAAATCACACAGCTGGTCTGCGACTACTTTCTCAAGGATCTTTGAAAGAAAGGGAAGATTAGATATCGGTCTATAGTTGGCTAACACCTCTGGATCCAGGGTGGGCTTCTTTAGGAGAGGTTTAATTACAGCGACCTTAAAAGACTGTGGTACATAGCCTGTTAATAAAGATATACTGATCATGTCTAATAAGGGAATGTTAACTAAAGGTAAGACTTCCTTAAGTAGCCTAGTTGGGATGGGATCTAAGAGACACGTTGATGATTTAGATGAAGAAATCACTGCAGTCAATTCTTGAAGAGAAATTCAGGAGAAGCAATCTAAATATATATTAGGTCTTACAGCTGTGTTTGAGGGCAGACAGGTACTATCTGAGGACAGAAGGTCACGAATTTTGCCTCTAATAGTTAGAATTTTGTCATTAAAAAAACTCATAAAATCATTACTGCTAAGGGCTAAAGGAATACAAGGCTCCATAGAGCTTGAAAATGTTATCCTAAAACAGCCATATACAGCCATTGACATGAGATTGCATAGTGCAGTTTTAAATTGTTTTGCATATATTAAAGTACTAATGCAATACTGCAATACTAGAAAATTCCCCAAGAAATTTTGATGGGGGCCCAATCTGGAAATCCATCAGTTAAAAAAAAAAAAAAAAAAGTTTTCTTCCTTTACCTCTGGAGGCACTGCCCGGTGGTTTTTCGACTAACGGAAGTGCAGGGGCCTTGGGGATCGCTCACCCCCTTCACTTCCGGCAGTGGCCCCAGTGTTACACTCCTACCTGCAACTCGAACCAAACTGCGGTAAAAACGTTGCCGCTAATGCCCTGTTTTTCCTGTCGTGAGGAGTGGAAGGTGTGCTCACAATGCACAATGCTTGTAAGTTGTGCTGTTGTCCATGCTTTTCACGTTGACGAGACAGCGTTTTGGGTGGAGCGATCGCCATGGACGCGGAGCTTGCTGTTTCTGTAGGTACACATTTCCCAGGGACACCTGCAGATCTCGGCCCCGCCCCCTCCATTGTGATGTAATGTAATGTAAATTGCAGAATCTGTCTTGAGAGATTAATGGGTGCCTGCTACCGCCACCGACTACCAAGTACATGTGCACATTTACTATATGTACTGCCCACTACAAGTGCTGCATACTACATGTGATACATATTACATGTACTACAGGTACTGAGCACTGTGTTTGTATGATATTGTAAGTATTTACAAAACATCACAAAATGTATTTATTAACATTCATAATCCCAAAAGTAGCAACATTAGTATTAGTAGTAAAGGCTTTAGTACCATATGATAGAGATAAAACGTTGGTATATAATGTTTATATATCATTTTCTGCTCCTTGTCTTTGCATTTAAGATTCAGAGACACACACACACCCACATGTCTATAATTTTGTATGTCAGTCATCATTGCTATGGTAATTAATGGGTTCCTCTGAGAGAGTGGAGGGGAGAGGGGCATTCAGCAGGTCAGAGCAGGCAGCTGTTGTGAGTTGAAACCTCTCACAGTCCTCCTTTTCTAACAAAAGCCATGAGTTCAGTCATCAACATAATGATATCACAAGAGAGGAGATACTCCTGAACGTGTAGGCTGCGTCCAACTCACTCACAACTGACTATATAGTGAGTAGGGTGAGAGTGAATGCTTTAGGACACAGTCATAGGTATGTCTTTATGTTTGTGGTGTCAAAATTTGAGCTGCTGAGCAGGTTAAAAAACTGGTACTGTCAGCTGTTTTCAAGACATTTCTCATCTCAGTTTATGACACATGACTAGGAAAAAAATGGCCTGTCTTTGCTTGGAGGCACAATGAGCTAAGTGTGTATGTCTATTTGATTCCTCAGTAACATGTCTGCAACCAGCACACATTTTCCTATGTTTTGATGTATAAATTGTGTATATAGAGTGAAACCTTTGGCAGTGAGAGCAACTTGTTCAGAAATTTTTAAGATTTTACAGTTCCTCCACACTCTAGCTGTGATGTCATCCACTCTAGCTACGTCCCATAGACAGTCATTATAATATCTGAAACATCTGAAAAACATCATGAAATGTTAACTGCCATTTCATAAAAACTGTAATAGATATCAAAATGCCCATGTAGCCCAAGAAAGTTTAAAGTTTTAAGATTTGTTATGGCCCCAAAGAGGAGTGATTGTAGCTCTGTTCACGTCGATTTCCCAAAGATCTCCCATTACTTTAAAATGGGAAAGTTTATGCAGGTTTTTGCAAGTTTGTGTAAAAAAGGCTTGGCAAATCTCTGAGAAACGTCATAGCACACCATTCCCAATCATTCCACACATTTTGATGGATTTTTTGCCTGGCAATGTGCTGGCAACACTGCAAGGCAAGTTTCGCAGCAAAATTTCTATGGAAGATGAGTAAGAAAAAAAGTGCAAGAAATAATATATAGTGTGTCTGCCGTTGCACAGCAGGCACCCTCAGTTACCCCCAAATTCCACCAGATGTGTGTTGGTTGCGTCTGCGGTCCGGGACGGCAGTGAAGCCGATCCGTTTCAATTCTAGTCAATGTGTGTGCTTCCACCGGCTGCAGCTGTGCTGCGTTCCGGCTTTGTCACAGCTGCGGCGCTCCGGAGCCCTCCGCAACAGATACGCAGGACTTCTATTTTTGCCGGATGCCGTAGCACAATTCAGCACAGAGCAGATCGTGCGGGGCAGGAAGTCATGCACAGAAACAAAATAAAACATCCAGTTAATTTTCAAAATAAAGTGCACAGTGTTCACGGCGGATCATATTTCCCTGCACTACACCTTGAAAACGTCATAATGGGCGGAGGCAGGCCTGAAGTCAACAGGTCAGAGGTTTTCAGACATCATTTCACCCCGTTGACACCATGGATGAGGAGATGTTAATCATGGAGGTGCACCGAGATGTCTTCCTACTACTCCTCTGTTTTTTTGGTTCTGTTTATAGAAACTACATCTTGTTATATCGCGCGATTATGCGTGAATTTGCGAGATGTCGTGGGTTCTTGTGACTCCCGCTGTCCGGCGGAGCTGCACGCTCCGCACAGCAAACACAGCCTGGGGGTGTTGACGGACGGCAAAGCACGCAGCGGATAACCAGCGCTGCCGTTCCGCAATGGACACGCATCCAGTGGAATTCCGGCGTTAGAGTTGGTTAGGGCATCTCCATTTTCAATGCAAAAAAATAGTATGGTTAATGTTGTAATAGATTTTTTAAACATGTGTTTTGGTGTCTTCCTGTAGTTATCACCTTGAAGAACTGGACCTGTCCTCCTGTCTCCTGACTCATAACATGCTTCAGATGCTGTGGCCTGCCTTCAGACACACACATAACCTCAAGTGAGATCAAATCAATTAACTGCTCTGTTGTGGTTTGCAGTGAATAACAAGGACAGACCTCTGAAAGGAAATGTTTTTGTATAATGCTGAGAATTGTACATGTTACTCTACTAAGAAGTTTCCAGTGTTTGTTGACCCATAATTAGGTAAATTGCATTTGTATGGTGACTTTCTAGTCTTTTGAGCACTGAAAGTGCTTTTACACTACATGTCACATTCACCCATTCACACACACTTAATTACAGCGTTCAACAAAGTTTATTTAATAGTAGTCAGATTAGACAATATGAAAATATCTGGGGGCCAGCTGCTTCTCACATCATATGGGTTATTGAAAGAATAAGGGTCCCATACAATTGAGCTCAAGGCAACAGTGTCATCTTTCACTGAAAAAACTTTCAGCTTTCCACTGCTACTGAGAGTGGTGGCCCTTGTTGTCAACTTTATGCTTCTTTGCTGTGGACATGTTTGCCACTTGGTAGGGGTGTAATGATACATCTATCTGGAGCAATACATTGGTTCAGTGATCCATTATCGTCAAAGTGAAACATCAGTACATATTGTCATCTTTTAGATGGGCCTTAATTTTGTTGACTTAATTAATGACCTTTATTGTGTCACCATTTTAGTCCAAGCACACCACCTGTCTAAACATTGAAACTAATGGTCTTGGGCCAGATGGCAAACAGCCAAGAAAAAGACAATGAGTTGATTAAGTGCTATTACCTCATACTGATCGGAGGCCCCTAAATCAAAGTGAAATCAAATCGTGGCAGACTTTATGATATCAGCAGATATTGTATTGTTGTCCAAACTATATA